AAAATTAATGTATTGCAGAAGAGGAATCATAGAAGCTTATTAGATTTGTTTCCTGCACAATTTTCTGTGGTTTCCTATAAGAATACCATACTGTCTGCCCAGGACTCTGAGCTATGAGTTCAGGTGGAGGTGGAACTGAATGAGTACATGGATTAACAAGGGAAGCACCAGCAAGCCATCACGTATAGCTGATGCAGACACACGATTTCCAAAGAGTTAAGCTGTTGCACCTGCTGTAGAGAAAAGAAAAAGATGTGACATTTCATGGCAACATGGCTGTAGGGACTGACTGTCATCAGCTAACGCATTTTGCGAGCAGTAGTGCCTGGTATAGACAAGATTATATGGCACTTAAAAATGCATTAGTCAAAATGCGTTAACTGGCAAGTCTGAAAAAACCCAAAACTAAATCACAAACCCTCTTAGTATACGTCCCAGTTTTCATAGAACAGAATATTCCATTTGATGCTGAGGGAAAATTATTCTATGTTGATGACTTACTATTGATGAAGATTAAAAAAAAGAAATATCAAAGCTTCTGTAAAAAAACATCTTTTTCTTTGGGAATAGGTAGTGCCAAAATAATGTCATTTTGTGTATATAGACTGCATTTTGCTTAAATAAGCTGGTCACATGCAGTCTTTCTCTCCTTCTACAGCCTACCCATGTAATGAGCAGTAGAAAGATACATAATTTCAATCAGACCTTTATTTACTGTTGAAGGGATACTGCAAACAAATAGTTAATTGCAAAATAATGTAAAGGTAAAAGAAGTGATCAATACTATAACAAGTAAAAGGAATTGCAGATGCAGAATTTCATCAGGAAAAAGTTAAGCAGAAATCAGTTTTACTTGGATATGACAAAGGTATTAATTACAGTTGCTTGGATTCTAATATATAATAATTTGTAAACAAAAATCCAATTTAAAAAAAGTTCAGCACAAATAAGTTTGGTAACTGAAGAGTGAAGAAGCCCCATGCAATTTATAGGAATCCCTCTTGTCTTAGGACAAGTCCAGCCAATTCATGAACAAGTTGTTACTCATCCTATGTGTATGTATATTGTATGTTACTGTTTGCTTTTTTTAAAAATTCCAGCAATGTGTAGAGTATCCTTCCCTGTGATTTGAATACTTATTATTACTGCCTGTCTACCTGCAACTTTTGATGTAATACTTCAGAGTCCCAAAGATGGGAACTCGTTCCTGTTTGTATAGAGCATCATGACAAACATTCTGGGCTTTATAGATCAAGGTATTCAACCGCTGGCTTGTGATTCCTCTGGCCCATGATCAGGTGCTCTCCTTCCTAGAAGGCTGTTGGCATCAAAGGATGGGTCAGATGTGTTGCTGTGACAGCAGTCTCCTGCTTGTGGTTGTTTTCTTTTCCAAGGGCTTTATGGTTCCCCTTCATCTTTTGATGGGCTGTCATGTGGTAGAAGAAGAGCTGTGAGTCTCCCAGGAAAGCTGGTAACCAGGAGTGGGGCTGCCACTGCTGGAACAATTAATCCTGCTCCCTGTCCAGATATTCATGAATTGCTCCAGTGGTTGCAACCTGCTGCCAGCTTCTTCCTTCCCAAGAGCTCCTCAGGTGCTGGCACACAGGCAGGACGTGTGTGTGTGTGTCTGTGTGTGTTGCACTTGATCTACGGGTGTGTAGTAGATCCAGCACTTTGGGAAAGAGCCTTGACTCTGTGTGGGCAGGTGGATGTACCGTGCTTTCATGGTAGGTATGGGCATGATCCAGAGGTGGAATCACAGCATATGCTTTTCTTCCAGCCTCTCCAAACAGGTAGGTCATCCACCCATCCGGAAGGCCAGGGGACGCCTGGTGTAGGGTTTCCTTTTTACTTTCATTAAAACAGAAAACATGCCAAAACAATGAAGAGATCCTCAAGTAAGGGAACATTAAATCTTTCAGCATTAGTTAAGCACTTAGAAGATGGGATAAGACAAGTAATTAATCATACATATGCAACTCTGCTCCCTGTTGCACTGGAAAAATTGTTTTCCTTTAACTTAAATTATTACACACTAATTGCTTAATGTGTTATAGTATTTTTTTCCTTATGTATTTAGATAATCGCTTTTAGCAACAGGTGATAGAAACTAAATAGGAATTTTGCATAGAACCTTCTACTCAGCATACTAGATATGGTGGACAGCATGAAAAACAAATTAAATCTTGTGAAAAGATACACAAGCTGACCTTAGTGGACAGTGACAATTTCACTGTGCTTATGGACTGGTCACAGTGTGGCCACGTAAGCACATTTATTGTTGTCTGATCTTGCTCATTATTTTCTTTGTATTGAAGAATAGGAAACAATTTGCTATATAAAATGGTTTGTTAAAGGCCTGCTAGGGCTGCATGAATAAACCCAACAAGTGTCTTTCAACTCGTGCATAGCCTTTATTTAATGTATTTGATACTATTTTTAATAGATCCCCTCTGGTGGGGAACTTACTTGACATATCATGAAAAAGTAAAAATCTTGATAAATCCTGTATATCCTGGGAGACCCTTCCCATCAAATCAGCGAAGGCACATGGTATTTCTGATGCTGTAGGAAGATCCATACAGACCAGTCTCTGAGGCTGTAGAGAGCTCTGCTCATAAGAACATAATCACACAAATTCTGCCCACAGACAATTTTTTAAAGCATTTTAGTTTTGAGCTGTTTTCAGTAAAATTTGGGAGTCATAAACATTGACATTTATGCTTGTTTGTGCTGGAGAGCTGTTGAACACAGGAACATAACGTCCAGTGAACCATTGCATGAAGTAGTCTAGTCTACCCTAGTCTAGTCTACCCTTGATTGGTTTAGTGTGGACTTGGTAGTGTAGGTTGGTGGTTGGACTGGATGATCTTAAAGGTCTTTTCCAAGCTAAACGATTCTATGATTCTATGATTCTATGATTCTAAGTAATGGTTTATCTGTGTCACTAGATATTTAAGTAAAGCACAGCGATACCTTAAAAACTTTTGGTTTCTCTCTGTCATTCAGAGTCAATTGCATAAAATATGAATGCTCGTATTCATCATTGTTCTGCTGCTTTATAGTATTAAGATATTTTATATTGCATCATAGCTGATCATGATAGTAGCCACTATGTGGGCATGTGGACTCCAAGTTTTTGGAGTCATTCCGGTTGCTGCAAAGAATTGTGCATACACATAGCTTTATGTTGTTTAAATGACCTACTGGATGTGAATAGTACTATTTTCCATAAGACAAAGAAGGGTGAAGTTGTAGTAGAGTATGAAACTAAGGTAAGTAAGCATTTTGTGTTTCTAGATAGTGTCTCACAGTACAGTCATCTTCTTAAAAAATAAAAAATATTCCAGCAGTTACCTGGACCTGACTGTTTTTTTAACATACTGACTGATATTTTGCTGAGAGAATAGCCCATTGGATAGCTGGGTTGTCATATTATTTCATTAGGTGGTACTTGGAACAGGACATGCTGTCTTTGTGTGGTGACTGATAGTAAAAGCTGGCTATTTTGTGGCCATTGAAGGAAAGTATGGTGGTATTACTGCTCTTTGCAGCCTGTTGGCATCAGTAGTTTTCCTTCAGCTTAAACACCTTTGATCAAGGGCTTGGCTTGGAACGAGTGGAGCTCTGTGCGTGGAAGTACCTCAGCAGGGCACGTTTCTTCTTCAGCAGTTCGCTCCATGGAGAATGTGCCTGTGGTCACGCAGGGAATGTGTTTCTCTCGCAGATGCTGAGGGTGCTCTGCCCCGGCGGCAGCGGGAGAGCTCGCGGTTTGGGTAACCTTGTCTTACTGTGTGATTGTGTGACATGGCTCTACCTTATTTGTAAATGAGACCAAATGCCAGATGCATCAGATCAATTCTTTCTAATAAGTTGTGTTGTATTTATTGTACAGTGAGAAAGCAGAGGAGTTGTTTCTTTTTCAAATACCTGTACCTTGTCACAAAAAGCTTCAAATAACATAGATTTATATTCTTTTTAATTAGGCACTGAGTAACCTATTCAATACTGTCTCATTCATCAAGTGAGTTCTTCAGGAAAAGACATCCTGTCAGGTGCAGCAGACAAAGCTATGAGTAGCATTGGTACTGTTAATGACTCAGGGAATGACTGCAAGAATTGTAAAATGACACATTATTACCTAGCAGGCATTGATCATAATTATATCACTGATAAAGACAAAACATATCGAATGTTGTGTTTTAAATATGCCCTTCAAGAAAAGAAAAAGCATTGAAATAATTTCAGTGATAGC